ATCCATAGCTGAAGTTTGTGGGCGTGGCCTATTGTCTTAAATAGCGCCTCTAGGACTATTTAAACTATCAGCCCCAAGCCATGCTTTGACTGAGGATTACGAAATTTGGTACACTAATGTGGTGTCTCAGGACCTACAAAAAAGTCTCTTGGAGCCAAGCACAACATTGCACAGGAAGTCGGCCATTTTGGTCCAAGTACGCGATTTAGTGGTTTTCGCACACGTTGTTTGGAGAGTGATGCTCCGTCGCCCTTTTCACCAATCGCCTTCAAACTTCTGCTATATACTCTTAAGACATAGGGGAAAAAATTCAACCGTCGGATTTTTCAAAAGTTGAAAGATGTGGGCGTGGCTAAGCCTCAAACTTTGACCTTTCGCCATTACTTTACTTGACTTAATAACTCCCATGTGCATGATCAGATCTTTTTCGAACTTTGTCTGTGTGAGCATTGACCATATCTGTAAACAATGACAATGTGGACAGCTGACATCACCTAAGCCCCGCCCCCTGACTACAGGAAGCCTATTGTTTTATGGTGAACTGCCCATATTTGTCCCCTCTAATTTAGTCAACATGAAACAAAGGTCATGCACTGTCTTCATGATGCTGTATTGACCATTCAGATCTGATAGCTTTCCAGAAAGGGAGGGGCTTTGATGCCATGGCGAATTCTGGCGTAACGCCGTAATCTTAATATTCAATTTAATGGTGAGATCAGAGGGGATGCTGAGTCAGGGTGAGGTGCGGACTAGGAGGCCATTCGCGGTTTCTGGTGTCGGGGTGGTTGACGTTTCTGTTCTGTCAGACGTGCACTGGTGCCCCGGGCTGCCGTCCAGACCGGAGCGGCGCGGAGCTGCGAGGGCCGAACGACGCTGCTTGCAGCTTTAATTTTTATTATATTTTATTCTATTTTTAATTATATTATTCATGTTATATGTAGCACATTAGTACCGAAGCAAGTTCCTAGTTTGTGAATTGTTTGTTCACTGACAATGGCAACAAACCTATTCTGATTCTGATTCTGATCTGAAATAAATATTACTGATGTAGAGGGATTTACTGAGATTAAAGCTCAGCCATTTTTATTCAATGTGAACATCTCCATCTCAGGATGAACTTAAAAAGTCATGTTTGTTGTTTTAAAAGGTTAAATCATTGGCAGTGAACAGTTGAATTTAAAATGACGACTTTAGTTGTCAATGGCAGTGAATGAGTTAATAACTCATAGGAACGCATGGATAACTCGTGGGAACTCATTAATAACTCGTGGGAACTTTCTACACTTTATTCTTAACATTTAATTTTTGCATTATAAATTGAGGAATGTTATTTTTTGAATAAACTTGTTCAATAAATTGGTGTTTTTAAATAGTATCGAAATCGAGTATCGAGTTTTTCTTTCAAGTATCGAATCGAGTTTGAAATTTTAGTATTATGACAACCCTAGTAAGAAGTCATTAATAACTTGTGGGAACTCAATAACTCTTGGTAACTTATTAAAAACTCGTAAGATCTCATCAATAACTCGGGAACTCATTAATAACTTGTGGGAACTCATTAATAACTCGTGAGAATGCATTAATAACTCGTGGGAACTCATTAATAACTCATCGGAACTCATTAATAACTCGTGAGAATGCATTAATAACTCGTGGGAACTCATTAATAACTCAGGAGAACTCATTAATAACTCGGGAGAACGCATTAATAACTTGTGGGAACTCATTAATAACTTGTGGGAACTCATTAATAACTCGCGGGAACTTTCTACACTTTATTCTTAACATTTAATTTTTGCATTATAAATTGAGGAATGTTATTTTTTGAATAAACTTGTTCAATAAATTGGTGTTTTTAAATAGTATCGGAATCGAGTATCGAGTTTTTCTTTCAAGTATCGAATCGAGTTTGAAATTTTAGTATTATGACAACCCTAGTAAGAAGTCATTAATAACTTGTGGGAACTCAATAACTCTTGGTAACTTATTAAAAACTCGTAAGATCTCATCAATAACTCGGGAACTCATTAATAACTTGTGGGAACTCATTAATAACTCGTGAGAATGCATTAATAACTCGTGGGAACTCATTAATAACTCATCGGAACTCATTAATAACTCGTGAGAATGCATTAATAACTCGTGGGAACTCATTAATAACTCAGGAGAACTCATTAATAACTCGGGAGAACGCATTAATAACTTGTGGGAACTCATTAATAACTTGTGGGAACTCATTAATAACTCGTGAGAATGCATTAATAACTCGTGGGAACTCATTAATAACTCAGGAGAACTCATTAATAACTCGGGAGAACGCATTAATAACTTGTGGGAACTCATTAATAACTTGTGAGAACTCATTAATAACTTGTGGGAACTCATTAATAACTCGGGAGAACTCATTAATAACTTGTGGGAACTCATTAATAACTCGGGAGAACTCATTAATAACTTGTGGGAACTCATTAATAACTCGGGAGAACTCATTAATAACTCGGGAGAACGCATTAATAACTTTTGGGAACTCATTAATAACTCGGGAGAACGCATTAATAACTTGTGGGAACTCATTAATAACTTGTGAGAATGCGAATGCAATAATAACTCATGAGAATGCATTAATAACTCATAGGAATGCATTAATAACTTGTGGGAACACATTAATAACTCGTAGGGACTCATTAATATCTTGTGAGAATGCATTAATCACTTGTGGGAACGCATTAATAACTTGTGGGAACACATTAATAACTCGGGAGAACTCATTAATAACTCGGGAGAACGCATTAATAACTTGTGGTAACACATTAATAACTCGGGAGAACTCATTAATAACTCGGGAGAACGCATTAATAACTTGTGGGAACTCATTAATAACTTGTGAGAATGTGAATGCAATAATAACTCATGAGAATGCATTAATAACTTGTGGGAACACATTAATAACTCGTAGGGACTCATTAATAACTTGTGAGAATGCATTAATCACTTGTGGGAACGCATTAATAACTTGTGGGAACACATTAATAACTTGTGGGAACTCATTAATAACTTGTGAGAATGTGAATGCAATAATAACTCATGAGAATGCATTAATAACTTGTGAGAATGCATTAATCACTTGTGGGAACGCATTAATAACTTGTGGGAACACATTAATAACTTGTGGGAACGCATTAATAACTTGTGGGAACACATTAATAACTTGTGGGAACTCATTAATAACTTGTGAGAATGTGAATGCAATAATAACTCATGAGAATGCATTAATAACTCATAGGAATGCATTAATAACTTGTGGGAACACATTAATAACTCGTAGGGACTCATTAATATCTTGTGAGAATGCATTAATCACTTGTGGGAACGCATTAATAACTTGTGGGAACACATTAATAACTCGGGAGAACGCATTAATAACTTGTGGGAACACATTAATAACTCGGGAGAACTCATTAATAACTCGGGAGAACGCATTAATAACTTGTGGGAACTCATTAATAACTTGTGAGAATGTGAATGCAATAATAACTCATGAGAATGCATTAATAACTTGTGGGAACACATTAATAACTCGTAGGGACTCATTAATAACTTGTGAGAATGCATTAATCACTTGTGGGAACGCATTAATAACTTGTGGGAACACATTAATAACTTGTGGGAACTCATTAATAACTTGTGAGAATGTGAATGCAATAATAACTCATGAGAATGCATTAATAACTTGTGGGAACACATTAATAACTCGTAGGGACTCATTAATAACTTGTGAGAATGCATTAATCACTTGTGGGAACGCATTAATAACTTGTGGGAACACATTAATAACTTGTGGGAACTCATTAATAACTTGTGAGAATGTGAATGCAATAATAACTCATAGGAATGCATTAATAACTTGTGGGAACACATTAATAACTCGTAGGGACTCATTAATAACTTGTGAGAATGCATTAATCACTTGTGGGAACGCATTAATAACTTGTGGGAACACATTAATAACTTGTGGGAACTCATTAATAACTTGTGAGAATGTGAATGCAATAATAACTCATAGGAATGCATTAATAACTTGTGGGAACACATTAATAACTCGTAGGGACTCATTAATAACTTGTGAGAATGCATTAATCACTTGTGGGAACGCATTAATAACTCGTAGGGACTCATTAATAACTTGTGAGAATGCATTAATCACTTGTGGGAACGCATTAATAACTTGTGGGAACACATTAATAACTTATGGGAACTCATTAATAACTTGTGAGAATGTGAATGCAATAATAACTCATAGGAATGCATTAATAACTTGTGGGAACACATTAATAACTCGTAGGGACTCATTAATAACTTGTGAGAATGCATTAATCACTTGTGGGAACGCATTAATAACTTGTGGGAACACATTAATAACTTGTGGGAACTCATTAATAACTTGTGAGAATGTGAATGCAATAATAACTCATAGGAATGCATTAATAACTTGTGGGAACACATTAATAACTCGTAGGGACTCATTAATAACTTGTGAGAATGCATTAATCACTTGTGGGAACTCATTAATAACTCGTGGCCACAAGTTAATGTTTTCCCTCAGTGTCCCCAGATGGGCACCGTAGTTTCTGCATCTCCTTAGATGTTTTCTCTGCTTAATGCCAATGATAGTCACATAGACTAACATCTTTTCCACGACCACCAGCGGTGTCTTTCCATGTGGTTGTTGAAGAAACGAGAAGCACCTCATGCACCACTTGGTTAAGTAAGTTGTAATGTAATGTAAGCAGTAATTATCCAATAAGAGGCTCCTACCAAGCTTAGGTGGAGATCAGTGTAGCTTCCTGCTTTAGCCTGTAGGTCCACCTGATTCAGATTCATGCAGAAGTCATTAACAGACATCTGTATAGTGGTGAGATGCTGGTGGTTTGGCAGCACAGAAGTACACACATTTGTCTGAAATAAGACATTTTTGTGCATTTACTTTGTTCTCGTTCCAGGAGCGATTTCCTCAGTTTACCATTCCAAGCTATTGAGTGCAGCCTGGCTGGACTGATGCCTAAAGGTAAGCCCTGAACCATCCTTTCATCTCACTGACACACAACTGGCAAGATAAACTTTAGATAATGTACTGGGGTAATGTTACATCCTTGAAGGAGTCCGTATCTCCTCATCCCAGATCTTTTAGCTCAGAACATCTGATGCAGAAACAGGATAGCTGTTATCTTATATCATTTAGTTGTGGTGGATGTCTTGTATCAAATCCACTCCTGAGGTGAATCCACTGTAGACGTTCATCCAGTAAAGACTTCCAATGAGTTGGATTGAAGTCTGTTTAGTGGTTGAAGAGGTATTGGTCAACAGTGGACCCCAGTGGGTGTGTGGTCATTAGAGGTCAGTTCCAGACATTGTGGGTTAACTGGACATTTGTTGGTGGTGACCTAGGGGAGGTCTGGACTGAAGCAGCTCTGGATGACTTTGAGCGGCTGACACATTGTGCCCGTTGGAGACCCCTTCAAGCTAAACTTTACAGTTACTCCCACTCCGAGGTGTCCTCCTGGCCTAGTGTCAGGCTGTACGACTACAGCGAGGGAAAGGTAAGACTACTTTTATCTACAGTACTTGCTTCCACACATCTTCTATTAAAATCACAAACACACCAACCCTGTCCACTGCAGACTGTGGACATCTGTGAGGAGCTCATACGGCTGGGCCATGCTGTCAGCTGTCAGGAAACACTGAATGGAAGAGCAGAGGAGCACCATCTGAGTAACCTACAAAGAATGTTGGTGAGTGTCTGGAACATAGGATTTAAATGTTGGAGATCGTCAGAGACAAGCAGGTTCATTCAGAAGTAGACCTCCTACCGGACAGCCACCATGTAGCCACGTTAACTCTGCTGTTCAAGCCAGAACTAGCCTACCAGCATCCATCCATTCATTTTAAGTTGTTTAAAGGTGTGGAACACTGAAAAAACAGGTTTTAATGATTATTTCTGAGTGCTTCATGCAGGCTGAACATTAAATAAGTTTATTTATAAAGCTCCAGATCAGGACCAGAGCCGTCTCAAGGACCTTCACACAGTAAACACTCCACTACAGGTCAGGTCACAGAAAACTCCCTTTTAACAGGAAGAAACCTCCAGAGGATCCTGGCTCAGTAGAAGCAGCCATCCTCCACGACTCACTGGGGATGGAGAAGACAGAGCACACACACACACACACACACACACATGCACACGCACACGCACACACACACACACACACACACACACACACCTTCCTCCTGCATTAGTTTCTGATAGAAAACAGACGGTGAAACTCTAGGATTAGAGGGTTAGGGTTAAGCCTGACAGATCAAAGTCACCCTGTCACTAACATTCATGGACTCACCCATCTGGGCTCACGACGGGGAAGGCTGTTGTTGGTTTAGCGTCCAGGAAACACCAGAGCACATCTCAGCTATTAGAAGCAAACTGCAGAACTCCTCCAGGCTTGTGTTATTTGTGGCGATAAAACATCAACGTCCATCCATCCATCCATCCATCCATTTTCATCCGCTTATCCGGAGTCGGGTCGCGGGGGCAGTAGCCTAAGGCGAGAGGCCCAGACTTCCCTCTCCCCAGCCACTTGGGCCAGCTCCTCCGGGGGAATCCCAAGGCGTTCCCTGGCCAGGTGAGAGACATAGTCCCTCCACCGTGTCCTGGGTCTACCTTTAGGTCTCCTCCCGGTTGGACGTGCCTGGAAAACCTCACCAGGGAGGCATCCAGGAGGCATCCTGACCAGATGCCCGAGCCACCTCAACTGGCTCCTCTCAATGTGCAGGAGCAGCGGGTCTACTCCGAGCCCCGCCCAAATGACGGAGCTTCTCACCTGTAATGAATTAGATTACGTGTTATTTAATGAGCCATAAGGCGTAGGATTCCATAGGAAATATGAAATCCACCTTACGGATCTGTGAGTCACTTAAACCAGAAGATTGGATCTTTTTAATGCAGAGATTAGATAACAGCTTCGTATTCACTCAGAGACAACAGAATAGAGAGAGTCAAGTTTAAAAGTTAAGAATTTTATTACTAACAAATTAAACTAGACTGACTTTAAACACTACATGTATGGTGTAACTAAAAATGGATGAGACGGGGGATGGATGACATGTGATGTTAATCAGAACCAGCAAATCCGAAGAAGCGATTGGTTCTGACGGGAACTGAAGGTGATGTCTTCACATTAAGCTTTGGTTAGGAGGTCCATAAACACATGAGACACCATTATGCCGGTCTTCCTACCCTTCAGGAAGTCCTCCGTAGATCAGGAATATCGAGGTCCAGCTTAACCCTCTTTGGAACCGAGCCGGTAGAAAAAGCCGCGGGTCCGATCAGACCAGTCTTTGTTACTTCCGGGTACACGACTGTTCGTTGGTGTCTGGTGAGACCCAAGCCTGGGTCTTGATGGTTCAGCTTTTGTTCTGAAAGGAACCGTTGCCGTAGTTGGTACAGCAACGAATGTTTCTTTTCAGCTTGTCGTTGTTCTTTCGGTTGAAGAGTTTAGATCAGGATTGGCCACTCCGTCACTTTCTCAGGAACGCTTTGAACTGGCGTTAGAGATGACGTGGCATAGTTTTATACCTCGGATGTTTTGGTTTATGGTCGAATGAAAATTTACCAAACACCATCAAAACCACGCCTCCGTCAGATCTGTCAGATTCTGATTGGATCAGTGAAAGTAATGTGTCATGTCTTTTAACGCTACGTGAAATAAGTCCTGTTGGAACACTTAAAGTCATAGTACCTTTACAGTATATTCTAGGATTATAATAAAGTACTTAATATTTTGATTTCACAGATCGGTCACATCTTATTCATTGACTAACACTTGGTTGGATTAGTTTTATTAAAATAGAGTTCTTTGATTAATTAAAAGAAAAGAGTTCATTCTTCATTCTTCTGTTGAGCTGAAAATAAGCAGGTTAGAAGGAATGCATGAGACCTTGAGACCATATCTCATGCAGACTAGTCCTGTGTCAGAGGAGGGAAAAAACAGTCATTCTGTTCCGATACACACCCTATCTCTAAAGGAGAGCCCAGCCACCCTGCGGAGAAAACTCTTTTTGGCCGCTTGTATCCGCAATCTCGTTCTTTCAGTCACTACCCAAAGCTCATGACCATAGGTGAGGGTAGGAACGTAGATCCACCGGTAAATTGAGAGCTTTGCCTTCTGACTCAGCTCTCTCTTCACCACGACAGACCGGTACAACGCCCGCATCACTGCAGATGCAGCACCAATCCACCTATCCATCTCACGCTCCAGTTTTCCCTCACTCGTGAACAAGACCCCGAGATACTTAAACTCCTCCACTTGGGGCAGGACCTCATCCTGCCCCAAGTGGAGGAGTGCATCAACGTTGCAGAGCAAACAGTCAGTGGTAGAGTCACATTGCTGTTAGCCAATCAGTGGAGAGATGTCCACTTATCAGGAAATAAGACTTAAAATCCTGCCACCTGAAGCTCCTTTCTCATCTGGATGAATTCTCCATGCTGAAACAGGCACTTCTCATCTCTTTTGTCCCCCAGAGTATGACTTACAGGGCATTCATTCCTACACTGTAAAGCTGCATAAATTGACTGAACTCACAACTTTTGAGGAAAAAGATTACATTAAGTAGGGGTGGGACTCGATTAAAAAATGTAATCTAATAATTTAGAGGCTTTAAAATGAATAATCTTAATCATATTTTAGTAATTTAAGAAAATTTGCCCCAAAGCTATTTTGAAAATAAAAATAATGAGGCAGGGAATCAAACATTAGACATGGATATTATTATTGATGTAATTAAATGTCTAAAAGGGGACGGGCCAAAGGGGTTGGGTGCAGTGTGTGACGGATGGTAGTCGAGGGCGGGGACCTTGGCAGTCTGATCCTCGGCTACAGAAGCTGGCTCTTGGCACATGGAACGTCACCTCCCTGGTGGGGAAGCCTGAGTGAGCATGTGAGGTTGAGAGGTTCTGACTAGATATAGTCGGACTCACCTCAATGCATGTCTCTGGCTCACGAACCAGTTTCCTTGAGAGGGGTTGGACTTTCTACTGCTCTGGAGCAAGCCCCCACAATGTGGGTGAAAAATTGAGGCCAACACGGAAATGAAATAAATTGCAGTTCCACTCTCATCCACTAGGGGCTGGTGTCAGAAGCGAGCAAATCCTCATTGACTCCCATGTTAAAAATACCAATTTCACAGCAGAAATAAACATGTTTACAGCCTGGTACCAGAACATGTTTTAGGTTTAAATGATCTAGTTTACACTCATGACAACTCTGAGGGGGGTGAATGTTTTTCTCACTCTTCTGTTTAAGTGTATGAAAAGCCTAAAATTCTGTATAATTAATGAGCATCAGACCCACGTGACCACAGAGCTAGCTCCGGGGAAAGGCCTCAGTAGAGCCTCGGTCTGGCCTGGAAACTGCTCCGGGATTTTGAGTCTCTGTGTGTGTGAATTCTGTTTTGGATATTATTTGTGCAATTGTTGGACAAAATGACTTGCTGTGGCATTAATTGCACTAATAGAGCGTCCAAGGAGTCTCCACTTCATTTTTTTCGGTAAGTAAAATTATATTTACCGTAAATCCTCTAATACAGGCCCGGGCCTGTATTTGACTCAAGCTCATCAAGCTCCAGGCCTTTATTGGAAGGAGGGCCAGAATCAGAGGCAGGCCTCTATTTCTATTTGAGCAAAATGAACTAATGGTTCGCTGGAGTTTTTGACAATTAAAATTGCGCCCACATTTTCAAAGTTAAACACATTTCTTTTAACAACGGTAGTTTCTGCTTCAGCCCTCTCCCCCTCCCCCTGCTTCAGCCCTCTCCCCCCTCCCCCTGCTTCAGCCCTCTCCCCCTCCCCCTGCTTCAGCCCTCTCCCCCCTCCCCCTGCGCAGCGGCAGCAAACTCACTGATGTGCCTGCAGCCTCTCGGAGTTCCTGCTGCTCTAAACATTAAAATAATTATTTCATTTTCTGTTCCTCACTTCTGATTACCTTCAGTGGTGTCTGTTTGTTGCAACCAGCAGGTACAAAAACTAACTTGTTTTTATTTGACTATTTTTCTGTCCTGCCTGTTTATTATCTTCCTGCATCTCCTCTCAATCCTAAAGAGAAACTGCTACCTGGGTTTATATATATTCACCTCATGAGTTACCTTTGAACTGCAGTTCTAAAAGATCTACCGACCGCTAAAACAGCGGAGCGCTCGCTGCTTGGCAGCCGTATCAGTGATCGGTGCGTCGGAGGACAAGGTGATGCGCCCCGCTCCACAGCAGCGAAACACATCAGGCGCAAATAAAAGACAGAAAACATTAAAGGAAATGAACCAACATGAATGATCGCGTGTCAGTACCGATGCTACAGCTCGTTGCCCCCCCGAGCGCAGGAGCTCGTCACCTGCTGACAGCAGGCTGCTGTCTTTTCCGAGGACTGCATCTTGCCGGTCATTATCACGTGACAGCGACTAGTCGATGACAGGCATAACAAGTCACTATAGTGAAGTCAACTTGTTCATACAACCCCTTTAATGCTCCCCCGTGTTCTGCAGCATAATCAGCACGTTCTCTTTGAACTTGATATCAAATGTTCGCCTCCTCTTCGTCTCCGCACGGTTAAAGTTACCCTCGCGGTCTATCACTGGCAAATCAAAAGTGAGACGATGACACAACCGCCCCCCGTACTTCCTTGTTACCACATTCCACCCGGCCACAATAAAAAACGGCCATTATTCACCTCCGCCGACTCCGACACCGGCCAAAATTGGAGACCCGGCCTTTAATTGAATACCGGCCTGTATTGGAGGATTTACGGTATGTATTTTAGGTCACTGCCGAGCTGAGCTTAGATTTTAACATGTACTGTTTAACCATGAAATGTAAATGTAATAGGGTAAAACCCAGTGCATTTAACATAATGCTGCACTTTAGAAAATGGGTTGAAATATAACATGTTGGTGGAGCTGGGTTCCCACTATCGGCTTGTGGAGCTCTCCGAGACCTCTGTGTTCCACCCGGTTTTACCCAGCGGTCAGCCCGGCGTATCTCTGACTCAGAAGCTCTGGTGTTGTGCTCAGTTAACTCCAGTTGTAGCTAGGCTGCTACCTCTGTTAGCTTAGCTCCCACCTCCGCGTTAGCTTTGGGTTAGCTTCAGGCTAGCTTGTAGCTAGTTCAACCGGGTGTCGTCAGTTGATCCCAGCCTTACAGCCCCACCCTCAGCTCCACCTCTCTTCCCTTTTTTGGAATTGTCTGGGCTTGACAAATAATGGCATTCTTCATTATGGTATCCACCCTGCATGGGAGTTGAAGAATGGTCCCCAGGTTGTTACACAGAACATCCAGCTCGTGGTTCACCTGCAGCAACGTCTTAGTATGAGTGCTCTTCCTCTTCATGACTACATCTCAGGATCCTTAAGGCCTCAAACAGCATCAGAGACAAGGATCAAGGGCACACTCTGGACACTTAAGCCGGGCGTACACTGTGCGACTTTTTCACTTTTTTGAGCTGATTTTCCAGTCGTGCGAGAATCCACGAGATCGGGGCGAGTTTAGCGCCGAGCGGTCGTGTAGTGTACGGGGGTTACGAGAGGCGATTAACACCACGTGACCAGCTGCCGATCAGCAATCGTGAGGTCGCACGGACTTCTGGTGTGTTTAATATTTCGCTCGTCCCTCGTGAGGGTATCGCACTGTTGAAGCGGCGCTGCGAGCAGCTGCGACCCAAAAGTATCAGAACCGCTCACGGCGCATGCCAGCGCAATCCTGCATCAATGCCGGTCGCTCGCTGTTTCCCTAATAACACACGCTGTTCGTTTTTGTTTCTACACGTTTTTTTACTCACAAAGATTGTCAAGAAGGCGTGTTTGTCGTGTTCATGTCAAATTAAACTGATCACAAAACTCAGATTTACTTTCTTTATTTCGTTTTCCTCATCCAACCCCCATAAATCCCTGTGTGTCCTCCTGCAGCACTCCCGAAGGACAACAGGCAAGACAAGACAAAAAAGTCTGACGTGTTGATTAAAAACTGCTATTTTTAGCACATTTTTAGGGCCGACGTGTTGCTACCAGACGTACAGCGTGAGCAGTCAGGTCGCATGCGAGAACTGGGTCGTGCAGTGTGAGCGCCTGGCTCGTGAGATCTGCTCTGCGAGGAAGTCGTACAGTTTGAGCTGAAGCTGAACGCTGCGAGTGAAAAAGTCACACAGTGTACGCCCGGCATTAGGCAGACCAAGGCACCACACTCCACACCAATTGTGGCGGGGGAGGGTAGGCGCATATGTGTAGTAGCACAAGAAGTCCGAGGAGAGGGGAAGAGTCCAAGACCCCACCTGACATATACAGCCATACACAAACACAGTCACACACTCCCTCCCTCATGCTCACACATGCACATACAACCTAAGACTTACAAAAATGAACCCTAGACACCCGCTCACACTCCCCATACACACCCTATTCACTCTGGTCCTGGTACTGCTGGGGGTGATGAAGAGCAGGCACCCCCGCCCAACGCCGAGCAAAGCATCCCACCGCCCCAGACCCCAACATGACAGCCAGCTCCCCCTCCTAGCCTCCAGCCCGGGGAAGCCAAGCGACGACAGAGGTTTGCTAAGACCACTAGTCTCTCTCCGCCTGCTCCAATATACTGTAGTGTTAGTGCATGTTGATGAGGTGTGTTCCATGGCTGTGGTGAGCAGGCAGTGCAGGCATCGTCTGGCCTGCACCAGCTGATGCAACCACACAACCCCACTTCCCCTCACAGCCCTCTGTGTCTAAGTGCAGTTTAAAATTGGAAGTGGGCACCGGCACTGGGGATTAGGCTGAAAGATCCCCTTGCAAAATGCTGTTAAATACTTAGTTTAACGAGCACTGCCTCTCCATTCTGGACAACATCTGTCCTGTAAGAACCAGATCAGTTCCTGCAGTGAACCCTACTCCCTGGTTTAACAACAGCATTCACAGCCTGATGCACCAATGCAGAAAAATCGAGCGCTTGACAAAGTAAACCCATCTCCATGTCCAAATGCTGCATCTAGAGGATCTTCCGACCTCATGTAACTCTGCAGTCAGAGACGCGAGGGTTGCCTGTTTCTCCAACCTGGGGTCTCAGATTGAAATGGACTAAACATGAAGACCCGTAGTTGTGAGGCCTGATTTATACTTCTCTGTCTGCGTTGGTACGGATGCACGTAACATCATAATGCCTCCGTGCAGAAGCTCTCCAACAGGCTCGCAGAAGGTGACGGAGACATGCCCCATCGACGGAGACTGTCGAACGTCACAGAGACCGCAAGCTTTTGTTTGGTCAGGACACTTCCTGTAAATTTGCAACAGCACCGCCTATGGCCGCTCAAAAATGTAAAAGATATTTAGCCTAGCAGACACGGAACAGACTGAAGAATGCGGAAAAAGAATGAAAATATGAACGTTGATTCGCCTGTGACTGAAGGAGTGCAACGATATGCAGCAAGCATTTTATTCATGGATGGAAAAGACGAGAAACGTGTGTTTTGAAGAGGTGGATGGGGGGCAAATCTGTTCAAAAGTCACTGAAGTACATTTAGACAATGTAAACACAGTAGTAAATACACTATCATGGACCGGATACATGACTGTAATGGTGGTAGGATACCTCAGAACAGCGCTCCGTTGTCCTGGCGGGGAGTTGTTGCCCCAGCTGATGGGGAAGTCTGAGAGCGAAACGTCTGTCAGTGTGAGCGTATCTCCCTTGGGCAGCTGATGGGGAAGTACAAAGTAGGTTTTTTAAAGGATCAAGGAGTTATCATTGTCCCCGCAGGGCAATTTGCAGCCGGCATTAAAAACAATCAATTTAACAATCAAACATCATTCACACTGAAAATGACAACTTAGCAGCTTCTTATGGTATTGTTTGAGTTTGCAGATTTTTAATTTGACTCAGATGTTTTCAGTATTTCTTCATGTAGAATTAAGATGCTTATTATCACATGAGTTGTACCAGAGAACTCTGCGTCTAATCTGAACCGTTCTTCGACAGGATGCCGTCAAAGGGACCTCTTCAGAGCTCAGCCTTTCCTGTATCAGTTTATCGGGTGAGTAGACTAACTGGAGGTGAGCTCCGACGTGCACAGCGAGTACTGAAAGTATTCACACCCTGTTAGTTTTTCACTCTTTGTTATATTGCAGCTAACTGCTTAAATCAATCAAATTTATTTTTTTCTCAGTAATGTACACACAACACACCATTTTGGCAGAAAAATACTTAATTTCTGAAATTTCTGCAGATTTATTAAAAAAAGAAAAACTGAAATATCACATGGTTGTAAGTATTCATACCCTTTGCTCATTATTTAGTAAAGTACCCTTTTGAGGTAATACAGCCACGAGTCTTCTTGGTAAAGATGCAACAAGTTTCTTACACCTATGTGGAATACATGTGTGTGTGTGTGTGTGTGTGTGTGTGTGTGTGTGTGTGTGTGTGTGTGTGTGTGTGTGTGTGTGTGTGTGTGTGTGTGTGCGCGTATGTGTGTGTGCAGAGGATATATATGTGTATGAGTGTATAATGTGTGTATGTAGGAGAAGAATGTATGCATATAAGAGTGCATGGTTGGTATAACCTGGATAATACATGATTCCACGTTGCTTCAAACCAAACACATTCAACACCTTTGTAACTTAATGGCACAGGTGTGTGCCATGATCAATGCGAGACCATTGCTATCTTCAACTGCAGACACCTGCTATGCTTATGACCCAAAAGCCATATTTTCCAGCCCCAGATGGTGACTTCTATGAAAAGGATCTATTCAAGTGCCAGTGGTGACTTTAGCAAGTGTGTTTTGGACCCAATGGGAAAATGAATGCTTAATACGCTTCAGTCAAGGCGTAAGTGAACCACAGCCTGTTGCAACCTTCAAGCAACAGCATTCAAACAATAACCGCTCCCTCTCTCATAGAAAACCAAACAATATTAAAAGTTTAATCAGCTGTGAAATAAATGAGCCCGGGGGGGGGGGGGGGGGGGGGGGTGCTCAAACATAATACAAAGCTTTACTGTACAAGGCGAGTATCACTGGTAGTGCATGCATACAGCTCAGTACTCACAAGGCTATCGGTCTGATAAGTACATGTATTTGTATTAAAGTGGTAGGCCCTTCCAGTTATTTGGCTTGTTCTTCTGATTACTGCGACATCTTCAAGCTGCTGAAGAAGTGACCCCGAGTGTGTCCTCATCCAACAGTGAGCTAATTATCTCTCATAGAAGTTTTTCAAACATTTATCCATGAGTGTTAGTGCCAGTGTGACGTAGATCCGTCAGGATTTTCTAATCCTAGAGTTTCACCATCTGTTTTCTATCCGGAGCTACTGCAGGAGATAGGACTATCTTCATGTTCAGGCTGCACGAAACACTCAGGGTGACCCGTTAGAATCAGAAATAGTCATTAAGAAATTGATTTCCAGTGAACCACACCTTTAATCTTGTGTTCTTCATCTCCCAAAATACCCTCTGATTTTGACCTGTAGAGGGCTTTTGCAGTTTTTCTCCTCAGTCTCAGTAATTCTTGCAACCTTTTCTTCTTTTTTCCGACTTGAGCATTAAATAATCACACTGCACATGTAAGCTGTGCACACGTCCCATACTAGCCTTCAGACAGCATTGTCCTTCTATGCTAGGTAGAAGTAGTTTGATAGTCATCATAAAGCAGTGGTGAGTTCAGTTTCTAAGAGAATGACTGATGTGCAGGCCTAAGAGGTCGCATCATCAGAGTGATGGGGCCGTGACCTGAAAGGGTAATAGAGCCCATGTCTGATTGCTCTACATTTTCCCATTTCTCCAAGTGATTGTCCTGCAGTAACAAGTGGGTTTCCCCCTGTGGGATCAATAAAGTATTTCCTGTTCTATTCTAAAGGAGCAAGAATTTTAGATGTAAAAATGTAACCATGACATGTGTTGTTTTTTGTATTGGGATGTATACATCTCCAGGTATCCTAAAGCAACAGATACTTCAGTCATGTTGAGTATGACACTGTCCTGTCCATTGAGGAACGACTACTGTATAAACCCACACACTCGTCTGGTCTCTGCCAACCTGGTGCTCTTCAAGCTGCAGTAGTTCCTAACCCTAGTGCTGCTCTCTGTCCCTCAGAAGAAGGTGCCTCCATCTCAGGAAGTGCTGATGACATTGTAGCGGATAAGCTGCTCTGAGACCTTTCAGGTATGGTTCCTGGTCTTGGTATGAGATTATGCTGTTATCTGCTAACTGTAATAATGTTTGTGTCTTCTGCACAGCTCTCCGTCCACTTCTCAGCTCTAGTTCAGATGACATGAAGAGGAGTTTGTAGTTTGACCCAAACTCGTGGAGCTTTTCCTCCTCAGGGACAGGCCCACAGAACCATCCTTCTTTCTCTTTGTGTTTCTGCGGTTCTTTTCCACTTGATGCTGCTTCAAAGAAACGTTCGTCCAAATTTGTGTAAACAGATGTTACCAGCAGCAGGCTTCCAGCTTGTTCCTGCTGGTGTGTTTTCTTTATAATGGTCTGATAAACCAGCACAGGGTGCAGTATTTAGGCTGGTGCAGATTCAGTCCTACTACACGTGTTATGTGACATCTACTGTATCACTGTGATCCACAGCAGTGTGTTAGAATAAACTACATTCACTTCCCACACTGGTTGTTTTCCTTTAAGTCCGCTTCAGATCATTTATAAACGAAATTCCTTCAAACAGCACCGAGAAACACGTGGTGTCGCGCGCGCGGGGGGGTTGTTTTGCTATGGTCGGTGCCCTCCATCTGTGTCGGTGGGACTGACCAATCACGCGAAAGTAGGTTACTCTCGCGCGTGCGCAGCGGCAGCAGCGTAATTTGTTGATATCCTTCAACCCATTTGTTATTTTTAACGACGAGGATCCGTGTCGTGGGACTGGAAACGGCGGTGAGAGCTGAGTGGACTAGCCCTGGGCTGTATGAGGGGCTGATGGAAGACACACGGGACTTGGTGAGTGACTTTGGACTGTTTGGAGGCCTCTGTGGATCTTGGAGCTAGCGCTCCCCCTTTGTTATTTGTTTATGTTAGCTAGCTAGCTGCTAGCTGTGAATAATCGCTTCAAAGGACACATTTGAGGGTCCACAGAGCTACGGTTTAGCTTTGGCTTTACATACCTATACGTGAAGGTTTTCTCCACATAGGTAAGACTCTGAAATGTGAGAGTTAAAACTAGAAAAACTGGTTTCCGCTAGCTACCTGAGCGAGCGCTCCTCTTTTCGTGGTTAGATGTTGGTTCAGCACAACTCCACAGGTAGATGTTAGTCTGGTTTAGGTTGGTGTTGTAGGACAGAGTGAGTGTGCAGACCTGGGTGCTAGCACTTAGGAGTAAGCAGAGAAAACCCCTTTAGATCCAACTCTGTCAGACCCATCTGTCCAGTGAGCACAGAGTCGACTACACACTGGTGTGTGTGGAGACCAGTGGGACACGTCCCAACACGCTGGGCTTTTGCAGCTTTCCAAGATTAGACTAGTAAAAACGACATTTAAAAGCCCGCTAGCAGCCAGGAGTAACTGTACGTGTGAGTAAAACCTGTATTTAATTAGAAAGTGTGTGTGTGTGTGTGTGTGTGTGTGTGTGTGTGTGTGTGTGTGTGTGTGTGGTAGGAGGTGGGCTGGGTGGGTAATATGACCCAACCATGTATCCGGATATTTCAGAGCATTCTGACCACAAAGCCGTTACACGCAGGGCCAGATTAAGACTTTGTTGTACCCTGGGCAACAATATTCAAGGGCCCCATCATCACGACCCAAGGATCACCATAATGTGGTCACATACAGAATATTTTACTGTAATATGCAGTAAATATACTCAATACTTGAATGCCTGACATCACGTAACCCGCTCAGGGTAAACTTTGACCCACCTCGTGTGGACTGACCAATGAGGAGAGGGTCTTAACTTGAGAACCTCTCTTCATTGGTCAGTCTGCATGAGACTGACTCTCAACTGACGTTCAAAGTCATAGGCAGCGAACATCGACATACATTTATGGACAATGGGTTTCCATAGATTCCAATAATAAGTTTTTGTACTAAAATGGGAGGTGGCCACCACCGCCATTTTGACCGTGTCACAGGTTCCGTCAAGCCCAGAAAATTCCACAAAAGGGAAGAGAGGTGGAGCTGAGGGTGGGGCTGTAAGGCTGGGATCAACTGACGACACCCGGTCGAACTAGCTACAAGCTAACCTGAAGCTAACCCAAAGCTAATGCGGAGGTGGGAGCTAAGCTAACGGAGGTAGCAACCTAGCTACAACCGGAGTTAACTGTGCACAACACCAGAGCTTCTGAGTCAGAGATATGCCGGGCTGACCGCTGGGTAAAACCGGGTGGAAAGGTTTCCATCCCAGAGCTCCACAAGCCGGCAGCCCGCGCAGCAGTCAGGAGCCGCGATCAGACAGAGATGCGCCGAGCTGCGGGGAGGGGAGAACGGGTGGAAAACATCGGTCTCCCGAGAGCTCCACAAGCCGATAGTGGGAACCCAGCTCCACCAACATGTTATATTTCAACCCATTTTCTAAAGTGCAGCATTATGTTAAATGCACTGGGTTTTACCCTATTACATTTTAATTTCATGGTTAAACAGTACATGTTAAAATCTAAGCTCAGCTCGGCAGTGACCTAAAATACATAAATATAATTTTACTTACCAAAAAAAATGAAGTGGAGACTCCTTGGGCGCTCTATTAGTGCAATTAATGCCACAGCAAGTCATTTTGTCCAACAATTGCACAAATAATATCCAAACAAGAATACACAAACACAGGGACTCAAAATCCCGGAGCAGTTTCCAGGCCAGACCGAGGCTCTACTGAGGCCTTTCCACGGAGCTAGCTCTGCGGTCACGTGGGTCTGATGCTCATTAATTATACAGAATTTTAGGCTTTTAATACACTTAAACAGAAGAGTGAGAAAAACATTCACCCCCTCAGAGTTGTCATGAGTGTAAACTAGATCATTTAAACCAAAAACATGTTCTGGTACCAGGCTGTAAACATGTTTATTTCTGCTGTGAAATTGGTATTTTTAACATGGGAGTCAATGAGGATTTGCTCGCTTCTGACCCCTAGTGGATGAGGGTGGAACTGCAATTTTTGTCACTTCTGCGTTGGCCTCAGTTTTTCACCCACATGAAGCTCCGGGTGTTGACGTCACTTCTCCCGGCATGCAACAGTTCAAATCGAAACGGCGCCATATTGGCAGGCAGAAGCCGGCAGCTGGACTATTTGTCATTGTCAGAAAACTCAATCAAACGGGAAATATGGTAGATTCCTGTTGTGCCCCAGGATGCAGAACAGACACGGACGACATAAGGAATGAGCCATCTACAGGATTCCCCAAGATCCGGAGCGCCGCAAACGTTGGATCATTGTAATAAAACACGCTAGTGACCGGGCTAAAATGAAGCTGTGGGATCCCGAGAGTAAATGTTTTCACTTATGCAGCGACCGCTTCATATCAGGTACTTAAACCAACGTTTCCTCAACTGTGTATGGTATTTATTTTAAATGCTTTTATTACGATTCTTAGAGGGCTTCCTAAACTCATTTTGGCGTGGCTTTTTCTGTCTTATTACTCATAGCAACAAGTAAACGTCACGTAAAACGTTGCCTCGTGAGTTCTGCGTGCTGCCGTTTACGTGTTTTATGATGACAGCAATTAACCGGCTAAGCTGTATTTAATTTTAAGCAATGGTTGATCAGTTGTCAGATCACACATAGAAAGCACTTTGGATTGCTATTATCTGTCTCACCGAGACTACTTACGTGTAAATCTGTGATTTGTCCTTCCATCCATCCATTTTCATCCGCGTATCCGGAGTCGGGTTGCGGGGGCAGTAGCGTGACTTCCCTCTCCCCAGCCGCCGGAGCCAGCTCCTCCGGGTAAATCCCAAGGGGTTCCCCGGCCAGGTCCGGTGTTGTGCCGGTAAGAAGCCCGCTCCGACAGCTTCTGGCGTCGGAGCGGGCAGTAGAGTCGAGAGTCCCAGACCTTCTCCCCAGCTCCTCCGGCCGGGGGAATCCCAAGGGGTTCCCCCGGCCAGGTCCGGTGTTGTGCCGGTAAGAAGTCCGCTCCGACAGCTTCTGGCGTTTTTATAAAGTATCCCAGGGGCACGGTAAGGGTCGGAGATGTTTAGTCTATTTAATTTCTGACTATATAAAATGATTTCTTCGGTTTTAAAGTGTGAAGTAAACTCCGACGAAGTAAAATCCAAGCGGATCCCGTTCATGTTCATGTTTACATCCGTGTTTGTTTACCTTTTTTGCATGCCAAAATGGCGTCTACTAACTGAGAGTCACGTGGGGTCCGGAGCTCTATTGTGGGGGCTTGGCTAGGATCCGGCAACTCACGCAACCAACTTGTGCTATTCGCAGGGTTCGAATTACGGGCGAGCTAAAGGGATCCGGCTCACCCCAAAGGATGACGGGCACCCCTGGAAGCCCTCGGTTTACACACCCTGGGGTAGCCCAAAAACAATCCTGGTTCTACTTATATTACATTATCTATGTGGACTCTCTGGGGATTATTTAGAGCTGAGAGGCGCAGAGCTCTTACGCGCTCCAGACATCTGCGTCCTGAGCACGGCCACAGTAACATTCTCAAAGTGTCGCCACCTCAAAAACAAATTAACGCGCGATCGTTCATGTCGGCTCATATCCTTTTATGCTTTCTGTCTTGTATTTGTGCCTGATGTGTTTTACTGCTGCGGAGCGGGGTGCATCACCTGTTTTGTCCTCGGTGATTTCACCCCTCCGGTGCAGCCGGCACGTACTCCGCTATATTAGCGGTCGGTAGATCTTTTAGAACTGCAGTTCAAAGGTAACTCATGAGGTGAATATATATGAACCCAGGTAGCAGTTTCTCTTTAGGACTGAGAGGAGATGCAGGAAGATAATAAACAGGCAGGACAGAAAATGAGTCAAATAAAAACAAGTTAGTTTTTGTACCTGCTGGTTGCAACAAACAGACACCATTGAAGGTAATCAGAAGTGAGGAACAGAAAATGAAATAATTATGTTAATGTTTAGAGCAGCAGGAACTCCGAGAGGCTGCAGGCGCATCAGTGAGTTAGCGCCGCTACGCAGGGGAAACATAAAAATGCAAAAACTACTGTTGTTGAAAGAAATGTGCGTTAACTTTGAAAGCGTGGGCGCAATTTTTAATTGTCAAAAACTTTAGCAAATCAACCGGACCCCCCCCCCCCCCCCCCCCCCCCCCCCCCCCCCCCGCGTGTTCCGGCATCTGTTTTGCCTTTGGTGAACTTTGGTTTGACGTCACTATTTGCGGTCCGGGAGTGTTTCATTTACAAATGAAGCACTGGCCTGGTGGTAATATCGCGCTGATCGTCTGTAATAAACACCGATTGCACCTTGGTGCAGCAGGCGGGGGTGGCGCGATCACATGGGGAGTTACTGCTGAACTCCGTCTGTCAACTAGATTGAAAAATAAAAGTAAACGCATCGTACATTTAGCTTTTGTAAACGGAAGCAGCTGAGATGGTGGTCTGGAGCAAAGCAGTGCTAGTGGAGCTTTTCTCCGTTAGAGCTGGAGGACACCTCTCGGAGCGGCTTTTAAAAAACTTCCATTGTGATAAGAAATAAGTTATGTCCAAGATAAACGGAGGTCTGCAGCAGTGCAGAGACCGCCCCATACCCCCGTTATGTCGCCATCATGTCATCTCTTCTAAAAGGACATCATGGCTGCGCAGCATTACCGCCACGCTCCGACCACTTGTTAGCAGCCTGGGGCTGCCTGCCGGCTCAGCGTCGCGGTAAATCAGCAGCATTCTTTCCTACAGGAGACCTTGCCTCTGGTCTTTGCTGCTGCTGCAGGTTGTTTTCTTCTCTGAGAGGTTTTCACTTTTAGTTGGTAAAAGGAAAAAAGTCTGGAAAGACAATTTCACTGATTATTGTTATAAAATGTATTTTGTGTGTATTGAGTAATGAAAGGGGAAAAGTTCCCTCCAGCCTGTTTTCAGACGTGATAGCAGAGTGTTTTATGCTGATGTGGGACTAGTTGGTTATGTTTTCTTAAACGTGAAGGCTGAGCGAACACAACGTTCTGAGCGGAAGCGGAGAGACTCGTTTGGGATGTTTGATGGCTACGACAGCTGCAGCGAAGACTCCACCAGCAGCTCCAGCTCAGAGGAAAGTGAAGATGAGGTGGTGCCCTCCATCCCAGCCCTGCCCATCATCAAGAACAACGGGCAAGTCTACACCTACCCCGATGGCAAAGCTGGAATGGGTCAGTACACACACACCTTCTCAGAAGACAGATGCTCACACACACACACACACACACACACACACACACACACACGTGCTCAGAAGACAGATGCTCACACACACACACACACACACACACACACACACACACACACGTGCTCAGAAGACAGATGCTCACACACACACACACACACACACACACACACACACACACACACACACACACACACACACACACACACACACACACACGTGCTCAGAAGACAGATGCTCACACACACACACACACACACACACACACACACACACACACAAGTAATGTGTCTACAGTTATATTGTGATGTCTTAGTAAATATTGTATTTGGTGAAAGATAAACTTTATTGTATTTATCCTAGTGGATCTATAATTAAACGGATAAACTAGCAGTAGCACATCAAACGTCAAGGAAAGCAAAAAGTTATTATCAGGAGAGGGAGAATGTTTAAGTGGTTAGCAGCAGTGTGCTAGCCGATGGCCCCCTCCATGAGGCCACCACAGCTCAGCAGAACATCGTTGTAGCTTCTTCTGGGGAGAAAAACACTTAGAGAGAAAATAAAGTTAACAGCTGAAATAGCAGGAAATAATACAGTTAAAGAGCAGATTGTAGAATAAAGCAGTTGAGTGTGGAAAGTGGTCAGTGTATCCTCCAGCAGTCTAAGCCTATAGCAGCATAACTACAGAGATAACTCTGGATAATCTATCCTATTTAGATGGAGGCATGTTGGAGGCAGGGCAAGGGAGAGCCGTCTTTACCGACTGTACACTCCACCTCCCTCTACTCCCCCACTTGTCCAGATTTAGGCTAACATCAGATTTTAACCATAAGCCCTATCAAATAAAAATGTTTTAAGCCTATTCTTAAAAGTAGACAATTAAATAAAATAATTTTCCCAGTTTTTTAGTGGCTTCATCTCCATTTGCCATTCTCTGTTAGTTCATGCTCTGTGGTGACGGATGATTTTCCCTGAACGACCCCGCATGTCGGACAAGTTCTCTACTCCTTCAGTAGCCGACACGTTAACTGAAGTGTCTCAAATGTACCCGTAACAAGTTGTATTGTGCTTTGTGCATCTATAAATACTCTCAATAACATTCACGTTTTATCTTCATGTGTGTGTGGCAGACGCTTTTATCCCATACTCATCCTGTAGGGTTAGGGTTAGGAGGACCAAAGGAAACCCACACATGCATGTGGAGAACATGCAGCTCCACCCAGCAGAGTTTCGAACCTGCAGCCTTCTTGCTGCGAGGCAACCGTGCTAACAACGGCGCCACCATGCAGCCCTCTTACACTTCAGTCACACACAAAATACAGTGTTCTTTAAGCAGCCAGTAAACGCAGCATCAAGTCTGAATAAACCGTGAGTCAGGGGATGAGGCACCAACAGATGCCCACACAGGCTCCATCAGTTTCTTAGACTCACGGCAGTCTGAATGTCCCATTATCAGACTACAGTCCTACTCAAAGCGTTGCTCATGTCTGTCTCATGCAGGTGAAGCTTGACGGTAAAGTAACTGGCTTTCAGCAGCAGGTTAACCAGTCACGGTTTAGCCTCTCGGTGTGTCGTGGCTGCAGGTTGATGCTGAAGCGATCCTCACTAGCGTGGCGGGTTGAGTAGCTGCTGCGGCAGCTTGCTTCTGGAATCCTGGTCCCTCTGGTAGTCCTCTGCTCATGGACAAGTTCTCACTGTGCTGCCACCTGGCGTCTGAACAAGGAAGAGACACGTTTCAGCGGGTGAAAGAATCTCCTGTCTTATTGATGTGTGCTTTATGCACCGTTTCATCCTTCTGCAGTGTGGAAACTGAAACCTAAAAACCAAACACGACTACAGACAAGTGGCAGAATAATACAGTCACTAACAAGTGAAGGTTGAGGCATAAATAAAACAAATACCTCGCTCCACGGGCCATGGTTGCAGATGAAAGCAGAGGAAGCCAGTTTAGCACATCAACACCTGCTGACAGTGAACCCTCAAAGCAGAGCAAGACCTATAGACTCACACGCAGCTAGCTGATGCTGAACCAGGTGGAGAGCCACCTCTCTGCTCTGCTAACACTTCCTTACTGCTTTAAGGTTTTATTCTGTGTTGTGATGGCTTGTTGGTTAGGGTCAGGCCTGGAACCATTACTGTAATCTGTCAGGCGCTTTGGTCAGCTCACTGCTGGTTTGAAATGCTCTTGATGAATAAACTGCTTTGATCTGGAAGGTCTGGAGGGCGTGGCAAATGGCAACTTAGAGGTCCGTTTACTATTAAATGAAGTTTTGGCTTTCTGTCCTGGTAAAGTTTCTCTGTAAAGAACTGTTTCTGGGGCATGTCTAAGTTGGCAGCTCGTTACCGGTCAGAACTAACCCTGTCTAAGCACAAGTGGGGTAGTTAACCAGTCTGCTTCTGCAGACTCCTGTTGGACTTCTGCTGGTGTGTGTTGTAGACGATGAGATTTGGAGCTTATTCGGTGTTTTCCTTTTCACAGCCACCTGCGAGATGTGTGGGATGGTTGGAGTACGAGATGCTTTCTACTCCAAAACTAAGCGCTTCTGCAGTGTGTCCTGCTCTCGGAGCTACTCGTCAAACTCTAAAAAGGCTAGCATTTTGGCACGACTCCAGGTAAGTACAGCATGTCTAGATTTAGTTTTTGTCTGATGGTGAAAATATGCACACAGATTAGGGAATGAAGGCAGCTGGACTTCTGTGGTTTCTTAAAGACGTTTCTCTTCTGGTCCGAGGAGCTGTGTCAGTTCTGACTGGAACATGGGAGAGTCGAGCTTATAAGCTGTAGCGGTCTGTTGTGTAACGAGCAGAAACCACTCTCCTCGGATGAGAAGAGAAACCACAGAAGTCCAGCTGCCTTCGTCTGAACCCTTTGGGATTACCACGACCTGGATGACTGAGAGCCTTCACCACTTTACAGATTAGAGATGAACCACAATGACCATTCATGGCCAAAACCAGAAATGATGAAACCAAGGCCATAACCCTAAACACCAACAGAAACCATTATGTCAGTAATTAGAACCACAGCATTTATGGCTACAACGTGTACTCGCCTGACTAAAGCCAAGGAATTACAACCCAACCCGTACAAAACCATGAAAATAGTCATGCAGCACAGACGTAACAACAAGGCACAACATAGATGAAAACCTAAAATAAATGTTTCACTCGACCCAACTCATGTACAGTAAATGATAAATAAAATAATAATTATAAAAGTACGGGCTTAAAGGCCCGCTGAGCAATATTCACAGAGGGTGAACATTATTTATTTATTAGAGGAGAAACTCCGGTCTGTTCACTGCTGACACAGCTCTGTGTGGTGATGGCTCACTCTGAAGAGGAGTAGATGTGAAACTGAAAGTAAAAAGTGGGTCACATGGTTGATATGAATATCCCAGCAATCATAATAAAACCGCATTACTAACAGGAGAAAATCTTACTATTGAAATCGTTATGGATGTACGATTTTCGTGAAACAACGAGCTAGTAGCCTCATGAGGGCGGAGTGAGATGAAACCAAATGGGGTTCACTAGTTCGGCCATGTTTTGGTGGTTTAGGTGCTGAAAATGCACCTTTGGGTCATTTTCAGCTGAAACCCTTTGGGGACCACATTTTCAGTGCATCCCTATGCAGAAAATAATTCTACCTGCTTTTATTTTAAAGGGCAAGCCTCCAACAAAAAAGGCTAAAGTCCTACAGAAGCAGCCTCTCATGGCTAAACTAGCAGCTTACGCCCAGTACCAAGCAAGTCAGCAGAACCTAGTCAATTCCAAAGCTGGTAAGTCTCCAGAAGACACCATTAAGGGTGTTAAGGGTGAGAACAGAGCTCAGACCACCACCTTGTTTTGGTCTTCTTAGTCGTCCTTGCAGAGAGCTTTGACTGGGGGAGGTACATTAGTAGTGGCAACACCGTGGGAGCTCCGGTCAGCTGTTTCAAGCATGTGAGTATCACCTGATTATTGACCTCACAGTGCCATGACCAGATGATATCATGGGTCCCCCTGTCTCTCAGGCCCCCATGGGGACATGCTGGGGAGACATAGAAGAAGGAGTGAGGATTGAAGTGCCCAACTCAGACACCAACCTCTCCACCAAAGTGTACTGGATAGCAGAGATCATAAAGCTAGCAGGTACGATGACGAAAACCATCTGAAATCAGTTCAAAACAGTCAAGTTTAATAGTGTCTGTTACTCACTTTTAAAAATAAATGTTTAAGTGACAATGTGTAGATTTGACCATTTATCTCTGGAAATATCCATCCAAACGCTGTAAATGAGTTAAAAGATGCCCAGTTGTAGAAATACACTCAACAAAAATATAAACGCAACACCTTTGTTTCTGCTCTGATTTTTCATGAGATGGACTTAAAGATCTAAAATTCATTCCAGATACACAATATCACCATTTCTCTCAAACGTTGTTCACAAATCAGTCTAAATGTGTGACAGTGAGCACTTCTGCTTTGCTGAGATAATCCATCCCACCTCACAGGTGTGCCACATCAAGATGCTGATCTGACTTCATGAGTAGTGCACAGGTGTACCTTATACTGCCCACAATAAAAGGCCACCCTGGAATGTGCAGTTTTGTCTCACAGCAAAATGCCACAGATGCCACAAGCATTGAGGGAGCGTGCAGTTGGCATGCTGAAAGTGGGAATGTCAACCAGGTCTGTTGCTCGTGCATTGAATGTTCATTTCTCCACCATAAGCTGTCTCCAAAGGCATTTCAGAGAATATGGCAGTACATCCAACCGGCCTCACATTCGCAGACGACGTGTAACCACACCAGCCCAGGACCTCCACATCCAGCAGGTTCACCTCCAAGATCGTCTGAGACCAGCCACTCAGACAGCTGCTGAAACAGTTGGTTTGCATAACCAAAGAATTTCTGCACAAACTGTCAGAAACCGTCTCAGGGAAGCTCAACTGCATGCTCGTCGTCCTCATCGGGGTCTTGACCTGACTCCAGCTCGTTGCCGTAACAGACTTGAGTGGGCAAATGCTCACATTCGATGGCGTCTGGCACGTTGGAGAGGTGTTCTCTTCACAGATGAATCTCGGTTTACATTGTTCCGGACAGATGACAGACAGCATGTGTGGCGTCGTGTGGGTGAGCGCTTTGCCGATGTCAGTGTTGTGGATCGAGTGGCCCATGGTGGTGGTGGGGTTATGGTATGGGCAGGCATCTGTTATGGACGAAGAACACAGGTGCATTTTATTGATGGCATTTTGAATGCACAGAGATACTGTGATGAGATCCTGAGACCCATTGTTGTGCCGTACATCCATGAACATCACCTCATGTTTCAGCAAGATAATGCACGGCCCCGCGTTGCAAGGATCTGTACACAATTCTTGGAAGCTGAAAATGTCCCAGTTCTTGCATGGCCAGCATACTCACCGGACATGTCACCCGTTGAGCATGTTTGGGATGTGCTTGACCGGCGTATACGACAGCGTGTACCAGTTACCACTCATATCCAACAACTTCACACAGCCATTGAAGAGGAGTGGACCAACATTCCACAGGCCACAATTGACAATCTGATAAACTCTATCTGAAGAAGATGTGTTGCACTGCATGAGGCAAATGGTGGTCACACCAGATACTGACCGGTTCTGAGTCCCCAGACCCCAATAAAGCAAAAAACTGCACATTCCAGGGTGGCCTTTTATTGTGGGCAGTATAAGGTACACCTGTGCACTACTCATGATGTCAGATCAGCATCTTGATGTGGCACACCTGTGAGGTGGGATGGATTATTTCAACAAAGCAGAAGTGTTCACTGTCACACATTTAGACTGATTTGTGAACAATGTTTGAGAGAAATGGTGATGTTGTGTATCTGGAATGAATTTGAGATCTCATGAAAAATCAGAGCAGAAACAAAGGTGTTGCGTTTATATTTTTGTTGAGTGTATATTGGTGGTTTCATAACATATAACCATAAAAATTGGGTCTAAACCACATGGAGTGGGTCTAACCCCAGAATTCCACTATCTCCGCTCCGGCACGAACTCCGCAGCAAAATCGGTCCCGTTGTAGTCAATCAGAGCTGTTCCACTACTGCGGCCGTGCGGCGCAGTGCGCTGCCAGCCGTGCTGCCGGAGCACCTCCGCAGTAAATGGACAGGAATCACAACCGCCCAACAGGAAAGGGAGCAAGCACAACTTCCGTTTTTCACAATAAATCGATAAACAAAAAGCATTTTTTGTTTCATATGCACAGGTTTAACAACTTTTAACAACTATCAATGGCGGTTGAACTTTACATGCACAAAAAGAAGTAGGGATGCTCCGATCCGATCACATGATCGGAAATCGGGCCCGATCATGTGACTTTTAAAAGATCGGAATCGGATGCTAAAGATCGGATTTAACCTTATAAAACAACAAGCATGACATTTTTAATCAATCTTGAGATTCAAATTGAATAACAATGGCTTAATTTTGTACCAAGTTTCACTTCCTCAATAATGACATGACAACACCATACAGCAGCCGTAACGTCACATGTTTTAAAGTGGACTGCGGAATTCAGGTCGCAGTTAGCTAGCAGGTTAATGCTCGTCTCGCTCCAGGAGAGCAAAAAATGTCAGCGGTTTGGAATCATTTTAAACTGGAGACCGAATGCTGTCCAACAGCCACTTGCAACGCGTGCAAACTGAGTGTTTCACGTGGTGGAAAAGACAGAGCTGCTTTTAACACCACGAACCTGATCTGCCATCTCAAGAGCAAACATCCAGCTCAATATTCCGAGTTCACCGCTGCAACGCAGATCAAAACATGGAGCCAGCCGACACTGGAAGCTATGCTGAAAAACAAAGAAAAACTTTTTATGGTATCTTGTTGGATGCCGTCATATAAATAATAATAATAATAAAAACCTAACAGGTCAATTTGGAGGCAGTCTCCCTTTTTTCTTGCTATTTTATTGTATTGCTGAAGTATCGGATCGGGACTCGGTATCGGCAGATACTCAAAATCAAATGACTCGGAATCGGATCGGGAGCCAAAAAATGTGATCGGAACATCCCTAAAAATAAGCCATAAATACAGTTTCTACTATCAAAGTAGTCGCCCTCTGTTGATCCAAACACTGCTGATCTCTCAACACACATGATGGGCAGATTAAACAGTTCATGTCGATGCTTCTCCCACACAACGGGTGTTTGGATCTAACTTCCGCGTTTATTGCTCGGACTGTATCGCAAGATCTCGAAAATCCCGCGCATGCCTGTTTGCGCACCTCAGGTCTCCGCACCGGAGCGGAGCCGTTGTAGAGCGGGTACCAGTATAATTTGAGTTCGGACGCGAGCGGCAGCGGAGGGCGGGGGCGGAGATGGTGGAATTTTGGGGTTAGTCTCTGGGCGATGGCATATTGGATGCCACGTTTCCTTCTACGGAAGCCCGTGAGGACAGATTGCATTTACTGATTTGTAACAAATGGTTACAAAACTTTCAGCATTAATAAATAATTTTCTGTTACACATTAACCTCTCCACTCATGACCAGTGATGAAAGGGAGTCTGATGTTCTTGTCTCTTTGCTGGAGGTTGAACTCCCAAGTATTTTTGACCCTGATGGGCATCCGTTGGTAAGGTCTTATTTCAACACAATAAAATAATGCTTTCTTGCAATGATTTAGGTATGTACTGCCCCCTATCGCCAGGAAACTACACACTGTCACTTTAAGTTATGCATATAACCGTTGTTCCTTGAATGGAAGGAAAGCTGTACTGTACAACGCGTATATAGTACGTGTATTACTTTTTTATATATCAGGGTTCGTGTGGGTGCTTGAAATCCTTGAAAATGCTTGAATTTTATTAACGTGTGTTCATATATGACAGGTGTTTGATTTCTGTGTAGTGCTCGCAATCGTGTCATCATCACCAACGCGGCCGCCATATTGGTGGCCTTTGAGTCCTTACTTGTTGCTTGTTACTACTAACAACATCACACTCTCATTCTTAATTACGAAAGCAGACCTGACCTGCTATGGAGAGCCGTTTTAATATTTAATCAGTAACTGACACCATGCATTTATTACATCACGACTGGATTACTGTAATCCATTACTCTCAGGAAGTCCACAGAATGTAGTTAAAAGTCTTCAGCTGGTGGGGAGTTACTGCTGAGCTCTGGCCGGCAACTAAACTGAAAATGAAAGTAAACACGGGTCGTAAGTTCTGCTTTTGTAAACCGAAGCAACTGAGATGATAATGAGTGCGTTTACATGCAGCCAGTAACCCTTTTAAAACCCAAATAGTCACAATAACCCGGTTCCGCAGGTCCTTGTTAACACAGCCAAAAACCCGGATATGCTCATAAAAACCCGGTTACTACACCTGGGGTAACCCTTTTCTAACCCGAATGTTTGGTCGTGTAAACGCATACCGGGATATCCCCATCAAAGCGTGTGTTCTGCACATGCTCTGTTCGCAAGGAATCTTGGTCTTTTGAGTAGCGAGACGTCTTGAATGCGCCAGAACACCGGAAGTAAACAACAAGTTGGGAGCAACATGGCGAGTCGCGGCACAGCACCACACTTTTGGAGTGACGAGGAAACTAAAGCACAAACAAACGCGGTCGCTATCTCTTCCGAACTGGGAAACATGTTGTTGTTTTCACGGATACCGGAACGAGAAGAACCGGAAATGAGGCATATAGCGTCTGGACGTAGTCCACACGTCCTGACGTTACCCCAACGTCTGCATTTAAACCGGGTTATGCAAGTTAGAGGTAACTCTTTCTATTTATGCTTGTAAACGGGTTATTCTGATCAACTCAGAAACCCGAACACCGACCTTAACCCGATCATAACCCGGATATTGGCTGCATGTAAACGTAGTCAGTGTGCAGTGATGCAGCACTCCAGCACTGTTCTCCATTAGAGCTGGAGGTCAGATCACCAGAGACTGCACAGGGACTGTGGGGGACAGGCAAATTTATGGAAAATAAATATCAAATAAATAAACAGACAAACAAATGGAAGTCTGCAGCAGTGCAGCCTGCCCCCATACCCCCTCTATGCCATCATCGGGTTATCTTTTGGGGAAAGGACCACTTATGAAGACCTAAGCCTGCGTCAGCGTTGCAGGACGTTAACAGCTGTTTAGTACCAAACGACTACAGATACTAATCACAAGGTGCTTCACGTTAAAGTAGCTTTCTGGAGTCTTCTACTTTCTGAATTTCTGTATGGTTTTTCAGAAATCAGCAGTGGTCATCTTATGTACTGTGATTGCTAAGTACACCCCTGCCCCACAGAGCTCTGTGCAATAGGAAACTCCAGAACTAACCAATAGCGCCATACTACCGCTTACTTGCTTCAAATGTAAGGAACACCTCGGCTGATGCAGAGTTGGTGAACTTTTCACGGACAAGAAAGTCTCTAAAATATAAATATATGAGAATAATACTCGTAAAACTACGTGTTTTAGCTAAATGATGGTGATGGTGCCATCGGATAAGAGAAATACTCCAGAAAGAAACTTTAAAACAATAAAACAAATGAACATAAACACGAGAATCTATCAATAATCAATAACCACACCTGCTTGTGATTCCTATTTTAGTTCATGCTAGTCCAGATCCTGTTCTTGCTAGTCATAGTTTAAAATAAAGCAACAGTTATTGTATACCAGCAGAAATGCAGCGCCTAAACCTACTTTTTAATCAAGTTTAATTATTTATTTTTATAAATGAAGGGCTCTGCAGGTGGAGGGTTTGGAATCAGATATTTCAGTTTTAGAGTTGTTAATCTACGTAACTAGAATTTAACGCTGTTGCTATTCAGCTTCGTTAAACCCTGAGAAGGATCTAACGAACTGGCAATGAAACTTATATTTATATATATATCTCCATGGATATTTATATAATCGATAGAAGTTCATACACCAAGCAGCTTGGTCTATATTTAATCAGAAGATTAATATTTAAGAGATTTAAATTAATAGCAAAAGTTTGTTTATTAATTCAGAAGATCTAAGGAGATCTTTGCTCGTTCAGTGACCAAATATACGCCACTCTGTGTTTTATTCCAAAGAAGAGTCAGGCTTAAAAAGTTAAGAATTTATAACCAACAATTCATAAATGACAATTTATGAAAGGGTTTGTAATTAAAGCATCCTGTGTGTGGATGAAACTAAACATGAAGTGTGTGTGTTTGGATGTGTGAATTAGGCCTCAGAAGGTTTTATCTTAGAGAGAGAAAAACGCGTTCTGGGTGAAAGAATTTGGTTTGCATTTAAGCTAAATTATTTCTTCATAAAAGGCATTCAGACGCAATCTGTCGGAAGTGTCTACCTCACCCAGTTAGGAGACCCCCTTTTGGATCCGAGATGTCTGGGGGAGATGATGACCCCCAGCAGGAGGTGGGTAGAAGAACCGTAGTGCTACCAAGTCGGTCCCGAGATGTCTCCGGGTCACGACGACTGATGAAACTGGTTGTGTCTCAAAAATCAATAACTCTGAAGGAGTTTGCGTCAGCTTGTGCTGCAGATGGCGTTTCTGTTGAAGCGATTCTATCGGCGTGACAGAAACGCTTTAGTAGAGGTTTCGAACGGCCGACTCGACCCTCTGGACTCTCGTTGCCACGGAGAGAATTTGGTGAGCTCAAGAACTGAACTTGAACTGAGGCGTTAGGTTCTAAGAGACGACCGGCAATCTTATTCTAACGAATTAGATCTTGACACGTTGGAGGGTGGGACTTACCATACTCGGAACACGCTGTAATGATCGGTTTTAATGACATTAATAACCTGCTTTAACCAACGTGTTTTTGTGACTCAGATTTTCTGCACCATTTCGTATCGGACTCCCCGCTGTGGTTTCGTTTTGTGTTGCTGGTTGGTTCTCGCACCAAAATGGAAATTCTTGGCCTGAAACTGAAACCGAAAGTGGGGAAACCAAGGCCGAAAACCGAAACACCGAAATAATTAAAAACCATAGTATTAGGTCTGTAACATTAACCCTGTAAAGTCACAATATTGCATTCAGCGAGCCACAGCTTGAAGTTCTTACTTTACACCAGAAGATAGTGGAGATGTGTAACTTCAGTCTGAGCAACACTTCTGGGTGCTTCTGTTGCAATTTTCAGAGTTTATAGGGTTTGAAAACTGTCATTCCAGTCAGCTGATTGCATTTGTCATGTCCTGTAACAGAGATCCAACCTGCAGTTTACTGCCTGGGGTCATCACTGTCCATCAAGACCTGATGATGAGGGCTGAAAGTGGTCTAAGTGCTATTTCTTGTATCGGCAGGGTTCAAGGCACTCCTGCGATTCGAGGGCTTTGACAGCGATGCCAGTAAAGACTTCTGGTGTAATCTGTGTGTCCCTGAAGTTCACCCCGTGGGCTGGTGTGCTTCGAGCAACAAACCCCTGGTACCTCCTAAAAGTGGGTCCTGTTGCAGACTAACGTACATGGGGAAGCTGCTGGTTCTTCTGCATGTTGGTGGTAATTCCAGCGATCTGTGTGTTGTCCCCACCAGGTATACAGCATAAATACTCCAACTGGAAAGCCTTTTTAGTGAAGCGTCTTACTGGAGCCAAAACACTGCCACATGATTTTAGCACAAAGGTGAGACCCTTAGCCAGCAGAATTCAACCTCCATACGTTAACCCTTTCATCCTAGTACCTGACCAGGTAAAACCCGCTGATGTCACAAACCACCTGTTTCTCTAGTCAGCAGTATTCTGTTTTACCTTCAGGTCCATGAGAACATGCAGTTTCCATTTAAGAAGCTGATGCGGGTGGAGGTGGTGGACAAGAACTACTTGTGCCGGACTCGGGTGGCTCTGGTGGAGCAGGTGATCGGAGGTCGCCTCCGACTGGTCTATGAGGAGAACCAGGATGGCTTGGATGACTTCTGGTGCCACATGTACAGCCCCCTCATCCACAACATAGGCTGGTCTCGAAGTATCGGACATCGCTTCAAGCGGTCAGGTGGGCCTAGTTCATGGATGAATGGTCCTGGAGTTCTCCTCGTGTTCTGCAGGGTTTCTTCTAGAAGTTTTTAAACGGGGGTGGGGGTAGGAAGGTGTTAAACACACCCCGTCTTCCTCCGGTCATGACAGTGATTTAAGAGACTCATCTGAAAATGCAACCACAAATGAGTCTCAACTAGCGCTGGACGACATGGGAAAAGAGCATATTGATAAAAAACCATATTGATCGATATTGATAGTTATTGACAAATATAAAAAATAAACTATAAAATATACTTTAAATGCGGCCCTGGCCATTTCATGCTATTCCTTAATTCCATGCTGTAGTTGTTTTTTAAAACACAGAAACAGTTTTGTTTACCTGTTTTCCCGCTACGTTTCGTCTGCGGCTGCAAACTTCTTCAGACTGACGCTGATGGTGGCGCGTCACTTCCTTCTCCGTTTATCTGCGGGCAGCAGAGGACGTTGTCGCCCTCTACTGCCCGCTGTCCCCTCTCCGACGATGCAGTCCCATGCGTGGTCCAGCGTGTAAACTCCGTCGTCCCTGTTCATGGTCCCACATCCACGTCTCCTTATCTCTAAAGCTTCTTTTATCCATCTTTTGTATTTTTGTTGTTGGGTGTTTATGATCCTTGTGTTGTCCCAGTCCATTACATGGTTTTCTCTTGTGCAGTGATCTGTTACAGCTGACTTCTTTATTGTGCTTTCTGCTTCTTCTTTTGCTGCTCTTGTGTGTTTACGATTTGCCTCTTCCTCGCACTCCTTTCTGTGTTCTATTGTTCGTGTGTTGAGGTGGCGTCCGGTTTCTCCCATCTATGTTTTATTGCAGAGTTTGCATGGGATTTCATAAACGACTCCACTCTTGTGTATCTATTATGGACATCAGAACACCCCACCATACACAACATGTCAGTAATCAGAACATTATATCACCGAGCAAACATGGTAACAGAAGAGAGAGACCGTAAACAAGAGGACAAACACATACAACACGCTTTAAAGACCTGCGCATACCCGACATGGGCAATAAACAAAGGAAAACAACAAACAACAACAGAAAGCAAAGAACAACCAAAGCATAGAACCAGAAACCCAGAAAGACGAGAACAGAACTAGTGATAACCCTACCATACATCAGAGGCATAACGGAAAAAATAAGAGCAACAATGAAAAAACACAACATAAACACACCAACAAAGCCATACACAACAGTTAGAAACAGACTAGTGCACCCAAAAGACAAGATACCAGCTGGACTTAAATGTGGAGTCATCTACGAAATCCCATGCAAACTCTGCAATAAAACATAGATGGGAGAAACCGGACGCCAACTCAACACACGGACAATAGAACACAGAAAGGAGTGCGAGAAAGAGGCAAATCGTAAACACACAAGAGCAGCAAAAGAAGAAGCAGAAAGTACAATAAAAAAGTCAGCCGTAACAGATCATTGCTTAAGAGAAAACCATATAATGGACTGGGACAACACACGGATCATAACCACCGAACAACAAAAATACAAAAGATGGATCAAGGAAGCAATCGAGATAAGGAGACGTGGATGTGGGACCATGAACAGGGACGACGGAGTTTACACGCTGGACCACGCATGGGACCGCATCGTCGGAGAGGGGAGAGCGGGCAGTAGAGGGCGACAACGTCCTCTGCTGCCCGCAGATAAACGGAGAAGTGACGCCACCATCAGCGTCAGCCTGAAGAAGCCGGCAGCCGCAGACGAAACGTAGTGGGAAAACAGGTAAACAAAACTGTTTCTGTGTTTTAAAAAAGAACTACAGCCTGGAATTAGAGATACGACACAGCAAGTACACACCTAAGATGCTATTCCTTCTTTAACTACTTTCAATAAAGAACAGGCAAAAACAAACAAATTCAATATTTTATTTAAACATCTTTGTTTTGCATTTCAGGAAAAGATGGAATTTTGCCCATTTTTCAAGCAGAAATGGAGATTTCAGTTCAGTTCATGATTTTCTTCAAATGAAGGTTCACAATATTCACATTTATACAGCGATGTTTGCAAACGTGACGGGACATGATTTCATACCACCTGAACTTCCACTTCTCCCCCTGAGCCTGAGATCAGTGGTCTCCTCCTGTTCAGGCTTTGGTGGGACCTTCATCACCGTCTCCTTGTTCTGCTCTTATTCCGCCTTTCCCGGGATCCCCTGATGTCCCTCTTCCCTGTTCACGTTCTCTCCCTTTCCTTACATTTTTAATCATATATTTTGTCATGTTAAACCTTTTTTAACCATTTTTAACAATCTTTTTATATTTTAAATGTTTTGTTCTTGTGAAGAACCTTGTGGTTTTTATCTTGAGAGGTGCTACATAAAAGATCGTTTTCTGTCTCACATGCTCCTCTTCTGCTGGTTTAAAGCGGCCGCCTGTTGATTAGTTTGAGCGCTACTGCCACCTAGTGACTGGGGGTGGTTTTGCATACCAGCATGAAAAAAATATTCAAAAAATTAACTCATTCACTGCCAGCCGTTTCCTGATCGGTAAAGCCCTTCGCTGCCAGCGTTTCTCGCCGTTTTTACCGTATTTTAAGAGTCACAGAACGTTGCGCGCTAGGATGATGTTGACGCCAAAACAAAGCGGTGACTCATCTCTTACATCAGGAAGAATTTGCGCGTTTCGAGCGTTATCCGTTCTTTCATAATCCGTTGTTGAATTGTGATCAGCAGACGCTTCTCCGGTTCGCGCCTCACTTTTTTTACAGCAGCGGCCCAAAACGATCTAACACATGGATTTCTGCTTCCTGATCACGTGACGTGTGACGTACGCGAATGAAGATCGGCTTTAGAGCTGAGATGTTTGTTCTCTCAGCGCGGGAGCTCATTCCGATGCCCAAACTGTAAAAAAAAAATGCAAATGACGACTTTAGTCGTCAATGGCAGTGAATGAGTTAAAAATTCTCCAGCCCCCGAAGATCCCCAGCACCCCTCCGGTGCACGCCTTGACCCAACATATCCCAAGTCCATTTGTTGGTGTTACAGAACTTTCAAATGTTTAATTAATTCTGTTTTCTTACAGACGCTACAAAGAAATCTGATGGTCAAGTTGATGCTCCTGCTAAGTTCTTTCACAAGGTAATGCAGAACATGTACCTACACATGACGTTGATCTGGTTGCAGGCAGTCAAGGTCACTGATCTGTTCTCCAACAACAGTTCGTATAGCAGTAACCCCTACCGCACACTGGAAGCACCGGCGGCCCAGAACGGCAGCGGAACGTCACTGCTTCAAATAGAATCCATTATAGACCGGAGATTATTCAAACCACCCGTGAACCATCCGGGAATGTTCAGAAGCAGCTCACCGTGCCACACCGTTAAAGATGGGGTCGGGTGGTATTTTTCTGGGACATGACTATTTCCACAGCTAATATAGGGCTAGACAGGACAGCACACACCGTTTTAGTGTAAAACCCCCCAGTAGGTTTCAAAATAAGACTATCGCCTTGTCTCTCGTCTCGTCGTCTTCTACCTATCCGGGTCCGGGTCGCGAGGGCAGCATCCCAACTAGGGAGTTCCAGACCATCCTCTCCCCAGCCGCCTTCACCAGCTCCTTTGGCAGGACCCCAAGGCGTTCCTGGTCCAGATCGGAGATGTACTTTCTCCAGGGGGCCTCCTGCCGGCAGGACATGTCTGAAACACCTCCCTGGGGAGGCGTCCAGGAGGCATCCTAACAAGATGCCCTAACAAGCCACCTCAACTGGCTCCTCACGATATGGAGCAGTGGCTCTACTCCGAGTCTCTCCCAAATGTCCGAGCTCCTCACCCTATCCCTACGGCTGAGCCCAGCCCCCCCACAGAGAGAACTCATTTTGGCCGCTGGTGTCTGCGATCTCGTTCTTTCGGTCACCACCCAGAGCTCATGACCATAGGTGAGGACTGAGCGGTAGACGGACTATTGAAGAGCATTGCAGCGATGTGATTTCATATCTATGTAGATTACATCAGTACGTGTGAGCTAACCGCTCAGTTACTCCCAGCATGGCTCCAGAAGTGCAGCGGTGTGTTTTCATGGCTTTAATCCTGGCAGTGGAGCAGGGTTAGGGTTAACCCTAACCCGTCATTCATGAAGTCAAACTGTGATGTCACACGTAATTCCTTTCTTTTGGGTTTAATGGTGGACGGCAGACTCGCCTCTGCCAGTGCGCCCCAGGGCAGCTGTGGCTGTAGCTCATCCCCACCAGTGTGTGAATGTGTGTGTGAATGGGTGAATGACTGATTGTGTTGTAAAGCGCCTTGGGGGGTCCCAGGACTCTAGAAGGCGCTATATCAAATACAGGCCATTTAATCTTGGAACGTGCATCCCTGGTGTCTGAGCAGTGGAACAGCAGGGACGCCCATTCTGTTAGCTAGGTCTACGCTGAGCAACAAAGGGATGCTGACACTGGGACGAGTCTGGGAGGTGGAGCTAGCAGACTTTAAATGAGTCAGCGGAAGGCAGGTCCATCCCAGTGTGGTGTGAAGTAGATGCCAGTGATAGAAGATGTGACCTAGATTGTAAAATAGATGAAAGTTTGTTTGATATGAACACAAATAGTTGTGATTATCATCAGGAAGGCCAACTCAGTAGTGATGTAATCATCGAGGATGCACCTCAGCAGTTAGTGTTGTTGGTTTACAGCAATAAAGGATTATTTAAGGAAATGTAAAACAGCTGTGTGGATGCAGCACCTGGCTCTGGCGGTGACTGCGTATGCTCCAGGGCAGCTGTGGCTACGATGTAGCTCAGCTCCACCAGGGTGTGGATTGTGTCCTGTACAGCACCTTGGGGGGTTGTAAGGCTCTGTACAATGACAGACCGTTGGTTTGGAACCAGTGGAGTGAGATTGTGTCAAACCCATACTGCATCCATGCTCACACGCATCTGCTTTGTGTTCCAGGTGAAAGACGTGGACCAGGCTGGGGACTGGTTTAAAGATGGGATGAAGTTAGAAGCCATTGATCCCCTGAACCTCTCAGCTATTTGTGTAGCCACTGTGAAGAAGGTAGAGTGATGTTGGCCATCAGAACCAAGTTCAGGCCCTTGTTCAGACTGTTCCACACTCATCAGGTCCTCCTGTGCTGTGTAGGTGCTGGCAGACGGGTTTCTCATGATTGGGATTGATGGCTCAGAGGCTGTGGATGGGTCAGACTGGTTCTGCTACCACAGTACCTCCCCCTCCATCTTTCCTGCTGGCTTCTGTGAAATAAACAACATAGAGCTCACTCCTCCCAAAGGTACAGTACCCCTGCATGCTGGGCCTGGCTCACCTACTGCGGTACAGCTGGACCTGTGGTGCTGATGGTCTTTTCTGATCTCCAGGATACACTAAACTGCCATTCAAATGGTTTGACTACCTCAAAGAGTTGGGATCAGTAGCTGCTCCTGTTAAACTGTTTAACAAGGTCTGGTTTAATGCTTCTACTGTACCATGAGCATGTTCTACTGTGTGAATATCCAGTCTTTGGTGCTTGAACGTTACTCCCTGAAAGGCCCAGGAACTCCGATGCTCATTTGTTCTGGTTGTGTTTCTTCTAGGAGGTTCCTAATCATGGTTTCAAGATGGGCATGAAGCTGGAGGCTGTGGATCTGATGGAGCCCCGACTGGTGTGTGTGGCCACCGTGACGAGGGTCGTGCACCGGCTACTGAGAATCCACTTTGATGGCTGGGAAGACGAGTATGACCAGTGGGTGGACTGTGAGTCACCTGACCTTTACCCTGTGGGGTGGTGTCAGTTGACTGGCTATCAGCTCCAACCACCAGCCTCACAAAGTAAGAACACACTGCTCTTCCATTTCATTTTCTGTTCCTCACTTCTGATTACCTTCAATGGTGTCTGTTTGTTGCAACCAGCAGGTACAAAAACTAACTTGTTTTTATTTGGCTCTTTTTCTGTCCTGCCTGTTTATTATCTTCCTGCATCTCCTCTCAATCCTAAAGAGAAACTGCTACCTGGGTTCATATATATTCACCTCATGAGTTACCTTTGAACTGCAGTTCTAAAAGATCTACCGACCGCTAAAACAGTGGAGTTCTCGCTGCTCGCCGGCCGCACCGGTGAGGTGCGTCACCGGAGGACAAAACAGGTGATGCGCCCCGATCCACAGCAGCGAAACGCATCAGGCACAAATAAGAGAATAAAAGACAGAAGACATAAAAGGAAATGAGCCGACATGAACGATCGCGTGTTAAATTAGTTTTTGAGGTGGCGACACCTGATTTGATAATGTTACTGTGGCCGTGCTCAGGACGCAGATGTCTGGAGCGCGTCAACAATCAGAGCTTTGCATGCACAAGCTGGTTAAGGTTAGGATGGGGGTGAGGGGAAGGTTAAATTGCAAGAGGGTAAAGGTCACAATTTGGTTAAATGTCTGTTTTACGGCGGGTGTCAGTACCGACGCTCTGGCACAGCGCGTTGCCTCCCGACATGCAGGAGCTTGTCACCTGCTGACAGCAGGCTGCTGTCTTTTCCGTGGACTGCATCTTGCCGGTCATTATCACGTGACAGCGACTAGTCGATGACAGGCATAACAAGTCACTATAGAGCGGTGAAGTCGACTAGTGACTAGTTCATACAACCCCTACTGCTCCCCAGTGTTCTGCAGCATAATCAGCACGTTCTCTTTGAACTTGATATCAAATTTTCGCCTCCTCTTCGTCTCCGCACGGTTAAAGTTACCCTCGCGGTCTATCACTGGCAAACCAAAAGTGAGACGATGACACAACCACCCCCCGTACTTGCTTGTTGCCACATTCCACCCGGCCACAATAAAAAAACGGCCATTATTCACCTCCGCCGACTCTGACACCGGCCAACATGTGATACCCGGCCGTTAATTAAATACAGGCTTTAATATTAGAGGATTTACGGTATCTGTTTACTTTAACAGAGCTACAGCGGTGCTAGTGACGAATATACAGGAAGCGGCATCCTGACCAATCACAAGCTTGCGATCTCTTGTCACTTTTGGTGGATGTTTAAAATTTTGATCATGTCTCTTGTCACCCTCTGTGAGCCCGTCGGAGAGCCCATGTGCAGAGGGAGAAGTATCAGTCAGGCCTTATTTGTGTTTCCACTCGCACACAGTCTGTCATTCTTCAGTCGGCCAACAACGACCCCTCATCGTCTGCCACCTGCACACTTGTAGCGCTAACACATTAGCGTCGGCAGGCTAGGGGTTTGGTGGGGCTGGATGGCGTGAGTTCAGTCTCGAACCGGCGGTGTGGTGTTCATTAGGAATGGGTACCTGTGGCATTTGAATTGGTATGGTACCAATTCCCAGTGCCCACGAATTGATACCGGTACTTAATGGTAACAATTTTTGAAACTTTTGAGTGTTTAATAAGTTTCCCCATATTTCCCCAATGCATAACCATATTTTATACATATCATGATAATAACATACAACTGTTAGTATTTTATCATCGTAGTGTTGTATAAAATTCTTCAACATGAAAACCTTTAACAACAGTTTCTGAATGAAGCAAAAACAAACCCAGCTCCATGTACTCCTAATCCTCTTCTAATCCCTCTGGAATAACTCTGGTGAGGAGACCATGTGTTATAAACTACAGATGAAACTAAAGCAAACTTCGATACCATACAACTGTTTGTATTTTAATATTGTGGTGTTTCACTAACTAAATCAGCTCCATGTACTCCTGTTCCTCTCCTTTCTCCTCTGGACAAACTGTGTGATAGTGGGTCCTTGTAGCTTTATAAACTGTGTCATGGTGGTCCTTGTAGTTTTATAAACTGTGTGATGGTGGGTCCTTGTAGTTTTATAAACTGTGTCATGGTGGTCCTTGTAGTTTTATAAACTGTGTGATGGTGGGTCCTTGTAGCTTTATAAACTGTGTCATGGTGGTCCTTGTAGTTTTATAAACTGTGTGATGGTGGGTCCTTGTAGCTTTATAAACTGTGTGATGGTGGGTCCTTGTAGCTTTATAAACTGTGTCATGGTGGTCCTTGTAGCTTTATAAACTGTGTGATGGTGGTCCTTGTAGCTTTATAAACTGTGTGATGGTGGGTCCTTGTAGTTTTATAAACTGTGTGATGGTGGGTCCTTGTAGTTTTATAAACTGTGATGGTGGTCCTTGTAGTTTTATAAACTGTGTGATGGTGGGTCCTTGTAGTTTTATAAACTGTGTGATGGTGGGTCCTTGTAGTTTTATAAACTGTGTGATGGTGGGTCCTTGTAGCTTTATAAACTGTGATGGTGGTCCTTGTAGCTTTATAAACTGTGTGATGTTGGTCCTTGTAGTTTTATAAACTGTGATGGTGGTCCTTGTAGTTTTATAAACTGTGTGATGGTGGGTCCTTGTAGTTTTATAAACTGTGTGATGGTGGGTCCTTGTAGCTTTATAAACTGTGATGGTGGTCCTTGTAGCTTCATAAACTGTGTGATGGTGGGTCCTTGTAGTTTTATAAACTGTGTGATGGTGGGTCCTTGTAGTTTTTTAAACTGTGTGATGGTGGGTCCTTGTAGCTTTATAAATTGTGATGGTGGTCCTTGTAGCTTTATAAACTGTGTGATGGTGGGTCCTTGTAGTTTTATAAACTGTGTGATGGTGGGTCCTTGTAGCTTTATAAACTGTATGATGGTGGGTCCTTGTAGTTTTATAAACTGTGTGATGGTGGTCCTTGTAGCTTTATAAACTGTGTGATGGTGGGTCCTTGTAGCTTTATAAACTGTGTGATGGTGGTCCTTGTAGTTTTATAAACTGTGATGGTGGTCCTTGTAGCCTTATAAACTGTGTGATGGTGGGTCTTGTAGTTTTATAAACTGTGTGATGGTGGGTCTTGTAGTTTTATAAACTGTGTGATGGTGGGTCTTGTAGTTTTATAAACTGTGATGGTGGTCCTTGTAGCCTTATAAACTGTGTGATGGTGGGTCTTTGTAGTTTTATAAATGTGTGATGGTGGGTCCTTGTAGTTTTATAAACTGTGTGATGGTGGTCCTTGTTGTTTTATAAACTGTGTGATGGTGGTCCTTGTAGCTTTATAAAGTGTATGATGGTGGGTCCTTGTAGTTTTATAAACTGTGTGATGGTGGTCCCTGTAGTTTTATAAACTGTGTGATGGTGGGTCCTTGTAGTTTTATAAACTGTGTGATGGTGGTCCTTGTTGTTTTATAAACTGTGTGATGGTGGTCCTTGTAGCTTTATAAAGTGTATGATGGTGGGTCCTTGTAGTTTTATAAACTGTGTGATGGTGGTCCCTGTAGCTTTATAAACTGTGTGATGGTGGGTCCTTGTAGTTTTATAAACTGTGTGATGGTGGGTCCTTGTAGCTTTATAAACTGTATGATGGTGTTCCTTGTAGTTTTATAAACTGTGATGGTGGTCCTTGTAGCTTTATAAACTGTATGATGGTGGTCCTTGTAGCCTTATAAACTGTGTGATGGTGGGTCTTAGTAGTTTTATAAACTGTGTGATGGTGGGTCCTTGTAGTTTTATAAACTGTGATGGTGGGTCCTTGTAGTTTTATAAACTGTGTGGTGGTGGTCCTTGTAGCTTTATAAACTGTGTGGTAGGGTTGTCACGGTATGAAAATGTAACCTCACGGTTATTGTGACCAAAATTATCACGGTTTTCGGTATTATCGCGGTATTTTTTAAACGGTGTTGCATATGTTCAGAAAGCATTGATAGTCCTGTTCTACACAAACTGAAATAGTTCTGAAAAGGTTTAACAGTGTTTATTAAACCTAAAATAACACAAAGCCTTAGCAAAAGTGCAACTTTTCACAAGTAAAGGAACAAATAGCTTCTTTTTCTGGAACATGTTACAGAAGTCAGTGCAGGTTTAAATTATACAAATCCAAACATTCGAAACATAAACAATATGTAAACAAATCAAAGAAACACCACTTGTTTTCTCATATACTTGTTTTCTTCATTATCAAAATGAAAATCTAAAACTCCAGTCCACACTTGACTTGAGCGCTGTACAAGTCAACCTTAAAAAAATATGTATTTAAAATAAATAGCCACTTTAAACAAATTACTAAAATAACTACTACACTATGTAATCAAATCCAAATGTTCAAGTATAAATGGCATTGAATAAGTAAACAAATCAATGACAAGGAACTAATTGTATATTTCTCTTCACCATCAACAAATAAGATGCTTCATCCAGCAACAGGGTGTCCGTGACACGGTTTAAATGCTGGCAGAGGACGCTGCGGCTGCAGTATATAGTGACTCGTTGCATTCTCCCTCAACCAAAAGTCCTCACGTCATGCATTTAAGCTAAAATGCTAATGTTAACCTACCTTGCACTGGCTGTAGAGACGTGGGTGATGGTCACGCAGATGTGCCATGAGATTCGAAGTGTTGCTGCCTTCTGCAGACACTTGTTTCCTGCACGTTCTGCAAACGGGATAGCCGTCTTCTATTAACTGTCCCTCAGCATTTTTCAGAAATCCAAAATGTGCCCATACTTCCGATTTAGTCTTCTTTGACGGCTGATGGATGTCCTGGGCGCTGCCGTCTCCTCCTTCGGCCGTTATTTCAGCTTCAAAGTTTTGGTGCCGTTGCAAACTAAAAAGTGCGTGTGCGCGCCGCGGGAACTTCAGCTGAAGCGACGGTGGCTGGTAAGGGTCATTGCGCCGAAATCGTGGCCACGGTAAACCCACCGAGATAATATAGTTTTTTAAAAACTGGACGGTTATTTTTATTGTCAACTTTTTTACCGGGGTTTACCGCTATACCGGTTACCGTGACAACCCTACTGTGTGGTGGTGGTCCTTGTAGTTTTATAAACTG